ATCACCGTCTCAGCTCGCGAGACGACGCGTCTCTTTCCTCCCCAACCCCTTGCAGCAAGAGCGTTTCGTGGAACGACGGGGGGGAATCTCGTCGACACCCTTTTGAAACGGGAAGCATCGGGAGGCAAGGAACCTTAATGGGCCACTATTTCTGTCGCGGCAACTGAAACTTCTTCCCTCCTTTCCGGAACATTGCCCCCAGCGAATTGTTTCCAGCAGGGCCGTTATCGTTTCATCCCCTCTCTATCTGCCCTCCGAGTGTCTCCTTCCCTCCTCCTTCCACCCAGATTCCTTGTTCGAGCGGGTTTGCCCGGATCCTCTTCGTCGAACGACTTCTTCGCCGTCCGACGTAATATCTGCCTCCACCGCTCATCCGATTCTTTCTCTCTGTCCGCTCGTTCGCGAAACGATTTACCAGGATGCCGTAAGAGGCGAAGTAAGTCGGGGCGAGACTCTTTCACAGACGATTAGAAACCGGTATCTCGTTCGCATTACCATTTCATCGTGGATAGTTGCGCGAGTAATGGCCCCCTCTCCTCGCTGAGGGGTCGCAGTTGTTTCTCCGCGAGCCAATGCGTGTTAGACATATCACCCTGATTCTGAACCCTGTACTATTAAGACCGTGTACACGTGAAATTTGTCAATCAAGGAATTAAGTGTATTCTTGAAAGATATACGTTTTTAATGTTACACGTGTTTTAGTACAGTCCTTCAATTCGAGAAGGTTGAACGTGACGTGAAGATTTCGTCCGTTTATCTTGTTTTTCTGTATGCGATTTTCAAACGTATTGCATTACGATATTGCATTACGTACTGTTTTATATATAACGTGCACAATAATACCGTATAAACGTAATTAATTGTAATGTTAAATATTGTGATGTTACATTGTAATATTGTGCGTTGTATGTACAAGGTGGGCCGAAAGTTTCTCCTTTTTATCAAAACAGATAAGAAAAAATTAATATTATTAATTTCAAACATGACTTTTTTCGTCATGTTTTGAAAATTATTCCTTTCGAACGTTAACCGTCAGAGCGTTCGCAGTTAAAAAAAAAATATATAATAATGAATGATTTTTGGCCCATTGGCGCATATCGATATAGTATTAAAAATTAATCGATCAATTGATTTATTTGCGTTCGTTTATTATACGTACCTTTGCGCGCAATATGTGGAAATTCTCGTCATTTTTCTTCTTCCTGCCTCTTTTACTTTTGTCTTCTTTCTGGTCTCTTTCGTATTCTTTCTGCGACATCCAAAGGGCGGAGCGCGAGTTTGCTTTTCGCCGGGTCTGATCGGGTCGTTAAATTTACCGGCCGACGCGAACTCCACGAACCACGAGGAATCGATCCTTTGTATTCCAACGGCGTTCCACGCCGGTCGTCCGCTCGGTCGGCCGATAACTTACGTAAACATAATGATCTCGGGCAATTCGCAGGGACAATGGTGCAACCGACCAAATCCGTGCGCAAATTGATTTCCATCCTCCTCGAGGATTAACTAACCACTTGCGCTGGCAACTGATTGCGGACCGTAACGAGTGACCAAATCGTATACAATAATTGCTTTCTTTTGGAACTCGCCGGTATGATATCACTGGATAGAAATTATTGAGAAGTAATAAATTTATTATTTGTTTTGGCTGGGTTATATTATACTTAAACATACTTAAAACTGAGGAAATATTGCAATTTTGTGACAAAAAATTCTCGACGTGCGTGGCACGTCATTCTAGCGCAAGAGGTTAAACACTTGCCGCTGGCGACTGATTGCGGACCATAACGAGTGACCAAACCGTATATACAATAATTCGTTGCTTTCTTTTGGAACTCGCCGGTATGATATCACTGGATAGAAATTATTGAAAAGTAATAAATTTATTATTTGTTTTGCCTTTTGGGTTATACTTAAATATTCTTAAAACTGAGAAAATATTGCAATTTTGTGGCAAAAAATTCTCGACGTGCGTGGCACGTCATTCCAATGCAAGAGGTTAAGCCTCATGCACCGTTACTCGCAACCATTTCCTCCCCTTTCCTCCCCGCTATGAGCTACGAGCTCTGAGTCCGACCTTTTCCACTTTCCACGAAAGTCTTTCTGTGCTTGCCTCGTCCGATGTTTACGAAAGGTGACTACGGAAAGGTGAAGTACGTGCCCGCCCTTTGGCAGGGGAAGACGCGTGTCCTCGCACTTTGAAACGAGCACTTTGCTCTTGTTTTAGTGGGGAATCGGGCGCGCTCTTCCGCGTCCGTTTACGAGCCGCGGTAGGAAGGAAGTCATTGAGCGAAGAAGGGGACCCACGGTCGCTGCGTTTCTTCCAGTCAGCTAGAAATCCTCCACGACCAAGAGCGAGGGAGAAGAGAGTCTCCACGAGTTGGACGAGCGTGGTCGAAACTCTCTTGCGTTTTTGTCGCTCTTGACGCTGAAGGGAGAGAAGCTACGAGTTGGATGTGGTCCATCGTCGGGAAATTCACGACCCTTTCGCTGTGTTCGCGCTCCGCCACCCTCCCGGGACGACTCGGTAATGGCTCCGGAGGGTGAATCCTTTTGCTATGGGTTTTCCTTAATTTGCTCGACCATAAAACACACGGCCAGGCAGTCACCCTCGAGCGAACTGAATACGTTTTATCGGCGTGCAACAACGCACAGAAGAACCTCTCTCTCTCTCTCTTTCTCTCTCAGAAATTACTTTATTTGTACAATTGGTCGCGAGCTTGCCTCCAGAAACTTTATGGCGTCGGGTTTTTCCGTCGCCCGCTCGTCTCCTCTTCTCTCTCTCTCTCTCTCTCTCTCTCTCTCTCTCTCTCGACCGTAGCCACTTGGAGTTACGCCGGATTTCTTGTCGCTTTCCGGCGGCGATACCTCGCCGACCATTTAGTACTCCCGGCGTAACGTTAATTCGTTCTTTGACCGTGGCCACCCCGTGTTTTCTACCGCCCGGAATCCTCGCCGTTGTAAATTGCTGCTCCGCTTCCAGTTTGGTTCCCTCTCGACCACTCTCGCCGGATAAATTCCACGTTGCTTCGAAGACGTGTTCATTTCAGAGGGATCTCTTCTTTTTCTCTTTTTCGGTTTTACACCAAAGGGGTGTGTATTTCTTGCTGTAACCTTGTGTGGCGTGGATATTTACTTTCACGGACAGTCTTGATATTTCTGACAAGTACCTTAACTCCATTTTGTCGGAGCAATTGGAACTTTCGCTCGGAGATTATCTCGCTTGCAAGTTGAATAAACTACATTTCGACAAAATTCAGAAAACGAAAATATCGGGTGTATTATATCATTTTCTCTCTGGACTCGAAAGACTCGAGAAACGTAACTGAAGTATCCTAAAAACACCTATTTGCAATTTACAAAATATAAAGAAGAAACGTAGAAGAGCCTACAAAGACAGCCTAGAAAGAAAGATTAACACAGTCCGAGGAACCGAAACGTCTGTAGATCGTGGGTGTGTACAACCGTGTCGCGGAGTTGGCAACAACAGTCGAAGAATGGTATCGTTAAGGTATTTCCTACGAGACAAAGTGTACGTACCTACGAAAAGTATAAAGAGTGGAAACGAGAAATAGGGGCGAAGGCAAGGAGGCGATGTCGGAGGAAATCGAGCGTGGGCAAACTCGACGAAGCCCCGGTTCCTCCAGGACAAAGCTCTTCCCTCGTTCGGGATAGTCGTTCGAACTGCTGGCTCCTTCTCCCTCGCTCTCTTTTCTTTCCTGTCGACGTCCGCGTTTTCCTCGGAAATCCTCGAACAGCGAAGAGTAGAGAGAAGTGAAGAGAAGAGAATCTAGCTTCTCTTTCGTTCCTGCTAGCTTTCTCTTTTCCTTCCCTTTCTTTCTTTCCTCTTATTTCCTTTTTCTTTCATCTCGTTCCCGGCCACGGAGAAGATTCCGCCCGGCATACCGCGCTGACTCCGGTTCGTGCTAGTTCTGCAATAATCATGAAAAACATTGTGCAACTTCAATTTCCCGGGAAATACGACGTCTTCAGCGGGTAGCCAGCGATGTTTGAAGTGTTGCAAAGAAAGGAGGAAAAAAGAGGAATGAACAGACGGTTGCGGAACGAGTGTTCTCTCTGGTGGAAGCTCGTTCGCCGGAGCTCTGATAATTCATTTTAGAAGCTGCTCAAATACACGGCGTCGACGTGAATCGAATGAGGTGGTTAAAGTAGCGTGATTCGGTAACTTTATTTTTCGCTGCTCCTCCTGCTACTCCTGCTTTTGTACGACGAGAGAGTGTTTAACGTTGTTTCGAGATTAAAGAGGTTATACGCGGGATTAAATATGATATCTGTGTAAATGAGTTGTTCAGCTGCTGACAGGAAGTGGTGTGAGAGGCTGCTGCTTGCTCGACACGTTCTTGATTAAATGCTTCGTGACGCTGTTCGCCGCGTTTAATATGGATTCCTCGAACAGCTTCTTCTCCCGGGAATAGTTTACGCGCGGCGTATTCCCCGTTAAAATGTTTAGTCGCTTGACGATTATTTTCTGCTGAGGACTCGCGTCCGGACGATATTTTATTTCAGTGTCAGATTCTTGAAAAAAAAAAAAAAAATATAAAGGAAAGAAATAAGAAGAAGATAACGAAAGACGACGAAGAAATGATTGTTCAAATTCTTCGCTCGTTACGCTCTTTATATCGGATTATTTAACAATTCCAATCAAAGTTAAAACATCATACGTGTATAGTTTAGCTCGGAAGTCTTAGAAATTAATTTGCAAAAAGTTGAGTAATTATCAGAGAGGAAATGTACTTAATAACAATTTTGAATCAGAATCAAATTTTCTTTTGAAGTATAAATAAGTTCGCTTTCAAAAGCAATCATATTTATGAAGGAACAAACATTTAAAAAAGAAAAAGAACAATTGACGTTTAATGTTAAAGATTGTAATCTAAATTTCATCGGGAAACGGACGTTCCGAGACTTTCAAGCGACAGCGAAAACACGTTTAAGAGAGAAAATTCTCCTCGAATCTACTAACAGGTTTTCATCTGTTGCAGGTCTTAACCCAGCCGAAGAGAGGCATGTGAGTATCAAATATCAATTTAACCCATAGAGAACGGTGCAATCGCGGTTTCGCCAATGGGCAATCGATAACAGTCTATTAACAACGAAAACGGTTATTCGGTCGGGCGTTCAACGCGCAAATAGCAATATCGTTGCACACGATGTTGGGATTCTCGTCGATCGCGCCGCGAAACACGACGAATTTCCACGCCGGCTGAAACGATAATCCCATTGAGAAGGCGATGAACTTCTCCGCTCGCGACAGATTCCCTCCCTCGCGAGAGATGCAACGTGCCGCGTAAATACAAGCAACACGTGCACCGATAGCCTTTAATCTCCGACCACCATCCAGCTACTTCGATTTCCGACCCTCGCGTTTCTCCCCCTCCTGCTCGAAAACGACGCGACTGTATCCGCGCGATACGTCGAATAATACGCGCTTCGATACGCGGTCTCTGCAAACGTAAGAGACTTCTGGAAATATCAAGTTTCGCACCAAAAACTCGGCGAAGGGAACTGAATTTTTTTGATCGTTTGCGAATCGTTCGAGAGCGACGCCGATCGATCTCTCAGAGGTAGAAGTGCTGGATTTTTGTAAAAATTGAAATTTTAGTTTTTATTTTTGTAAAAATTGAAATTTTAGTTTAACCTTTTACGACAGATCGGCTCACGACGATCGATTTATTTGTCGAAAATAAGTTCGATTCGAATCGTGTAAACTGAGTGTTCTGTAAGGATTCGAATCGTATAAAAATCGTACAATTCTATGTAGAAAAATTACAATTTTGAAAAATTATACGATACTGGAACATTGTATTAAATGGATTAAAATATTCAACGAAACATCGACCGACGAAAAGAAACGGAAACTTGCCAGCAAATTTATTACAAACGCATCGTCGAGCTTCGGTATACACGGAGTCGACTACAGCAATTAATTTGAAAACCATAACAGTTCAGTTTGAAGGGGGGAAGAGGGGAGAAGCAATTAATTTTATTTATTCAACTCGGAGGGAAAAGCCGAACGATAACTTTTTTTTTCCCCCCTCCAAATCAACCGCGCGTTCGCCATTAACCGATACAACTTCTAATTCATGACCAATTTACCCGGTGCAGCCAGCACACAAATCGCGCACAGCCAGCCAGCTAGCCAGCCAGCCAAACAAACTCGTTCGATTTTCACCGAATGCTGCCGTTCCCACCCTCCACCTCTGTTGCCTACCCCCCCCCCAAACTCCCCCCCCCCTCTCGCTACAGCCCCGCAGTTCGTTAAAACAAACGAATCTATGAATTTATTTTCACGCGAGAATTCGGTTCCGAGGGAATCGGGGAATTAAACAGATTCGCAATTACAATCTGCGAATGAACGACGGTCGAATCGAATTTCGAGAGGGGGCCGCACCGCCAGCCAGTATCCGCCCGTTTTACCCTCGTTTCCTCGATCCGACAGAAACGGATACGGCGCTCGTAAAATCCGACCGCTTTTTGGGGTTTCACGAGTCGCGGATACTGCGTTTCGCGAGGGATGATCTCTCGCACCCCGATCGTTAGGCTAGTCCCACACGGAGGACACGTTTGACAGACTCGCTGGGGAATGTCTATGGACGAGTTGTACAACGAGGGATCCGTAAAGTGTCACACTAACAATTGTACTGTAAAATACACGTACGATTGAGGAATTTGATTAGATGTCGAGTATCACATCCCTTGGCCTTTTCAATCTTCCTCACTTGCTACGTCAGAATTGAAATTTAAAAGTCGAATTTAATTTCTATAAAAACTATGTATATACTTGATAATTCATATTAGAAGTTAAAATAAAAAATATGTTCCGAGACTTTTTCCATTTGTAACACAATGTAAAGAAATAGAAATCTACGAAGCTGTAACTGATATATCGTGCTACGTTTTTTTTTTTTTTTCCTTCTTTTCTTTGTTGGTGGATACACCGAGCGTGTCTTTGCATCGTGTGAACTTAGCCTTACAGTGCCCGATGGTGATACCGTGAACCCGGGATTTTGGAATCGGAACGACGAGCGGAAGTAGCGGGTTCTCTGCCCCAAGGGTGAGGAACGACTCGGTGCCGCTTCGAATTTCATCTCGTAAAAGAAATTAGAGCAGCCGCTGGTGGTATGTGTGGTTCGCGTAGCACGCAGCTGAAAGAGAATACCACGGGGGAGGAACAAATAAAATCAGCTAGCTACGAAACTGAAAGAAGAAAGCTGCTGGCCGAACGATGGAGAAAGAAGAACGCAGAGGAAGAGGATGAGGTGGAGGCGAAACGGGGGATGGGGGTGAAGAGGGTTTGAGGGGCGTGGAGTGAATAAAAAGGGGAGAAAGAGCGCGCGAAGAAGAAAGAGAAGGTTGCGGATCAGCCGTGGTGGAAGAGGAGGAAACCTGAAATGGACGTAAAAGCCTGAACACCGGAACATAGGGCCGTAAAAAGCTCGTCGTCAAATGCACCCCCGTTCTTCTCTGCCGTTATCCACTCTGCCTTCTCTCGTTCTTCCTTCTCTCTCGCACTTTTTCTCCGTTTCTCTCCTCCTTTTCTCTTCCACACGCGCCCTTTATCCCACCTTTGATAGCATAAAGCGACTGCTGGGCGCGGCGCGCGTTTATTAAAAGCGCTCCGGGGCTGGCAAAAAAGGCTGGAGATACCGCTACGGGGATCGCCGGTGTTCGCGCGTTCCGCTTCCGACAGACCTGCACCGATCGTTCGATCGTCGATCGCCAGCAAGATGTTCTCCTTCGATAAAACTACGAGTGAAATGCGAATTCCTTTTTTCAGTTTGGTTGATAGATGAATCATAGCGAAAAGATGAGAATGTTACGAACAGCGCCAATTCTAGTTACAACTGTAATTGTAATTTAACCAGTTATAACTACGACTATAATTTAATTATTTTTCAACGAATACTTTAGTCGAAGTTGAGGAATTGCGTTGCAAGAAATGTTCTGTTATTTCTACGTCGGTCATTTCCCTAGGCTGACTCGTTGTTTAGTTTATTCACTCGTCTTCAAAGTAGTACAAGTTTTAATTTTCATTCGGACTCGAACTTTTGAAATATATTTCAACATCCGAATGTTGCCACGGTAATAAAATGTTTGTTAATAGCAATCACAATTTCCCAATTGCTAGTAGACATTCTATTCTAATAATATTAATAAAGATGTAAACTCTGTCGCGCAATTTATAAATTTCGGAGATTCTCTTCTCTTTTGCGTGCATATATTTCCTTCTTTCAACAGAATCAAAAATTCTTACATTATAATCAAGCATCGATTGTTTTTACACTAGCATCAATCGTTCGAAACTTATTACGTGTTCACACGACAACCACGTTCACCACGGTATACCGATCGTCGAGGATCATTAATTAATACATCGAGGTGTTTTATAAAACACTCTCTTTTTCTCTCTCTCTCTCTCTCTCTCTCGTCGCCTCTTTCATTCTCCGATGATGGCGAATTCACTGAAAAGCACGGCCGCGCGCGAGGCCAATCCGCGCTATATTATTCCGGTCAGCGAGTGATTTTCAGCGTAATTATCTTTTCGGCGTGGCTCTTTTCCGGGACCGTCATTACGGGCCGTGTTTTAACAGCGCACACAGCCAGCATAACTTGCGCAATTTGGCCGGCGATGCCCGTGGCCGACGGCCCGCGGCCGGGCCGATAATTAGCGTCCGTTTAATATGCACAATTATTACGGATTGATAATCGGGGCTGCGCATCCATTACACCGGCATTGAGATAGATGGTAATAGGTTTCCATCGGTATTAACTCTCTCTCCCTTCGTGTTTCTCGCTTGTTTCTCGCTCGCCCTCTCGTACGCGTCGCGATACGCGAACCCGATTCCCTCCTCTTCGTTGCTCTCCGCGGGACGCTCGCTCGCTCGCTCGCGCGTAATCTCGCCGCGCTTTCATAATGTATACCGACCGGCTAGCGATGGGAATAATTCGATTATCGTTTCGGAAATTTTCAATCGACGTACCGGCCAATCCCTGCTAAATCGCCCGCCCCGGCGAATCATTTAAAAATCCCGGATTAATCCTGCAGCTTGTTTATTATCGGTGCGTGGCGGCCTGTGTTTTGTTTCGTAATCTCGTAAAAACCCGATGAAATATCTGTGCTCTGTATTTCAACAGTATTTGTTAGAGGGAGTTCTGGATTTTGCCAGGTACGTTTGAAGAGTTCACTGAGTAATGACGCACTTGCGAGGGAAATTTACAATTTCCGTTCTTCTGACCGTTCCTTCTGCTTTAAGCGAAAGAACTTAATTTTAAAGAAACCTAATCACCTCTCACAACGAATTGTATTTCTCTCAAGTTTGTCAAGGCCAACTACTATTGTTTCATAAACAAGAGAAAATATCAAGTGTCTCATTAAATCACGTTTACTGCCACTTGCGCTGGCAACTGACTGCGAACCATAACGAGCGACCAAACCGTATAAAGTAATTCGTCGCTTCCTTTTTGAACTTGGTGTGATATCACTGGACAGAAATTATTGAGAAGTAATAACTTTATTATATTATACTTTATATTTTATTTTTGCCTGAATTATATTATACTTCGAGTTATAATATAAATATATTGTAAAGCTGAGAAAATATTGCAACTTTGGGACAAAAAATTCTCGACGTGCGTGGCACGTCATTCCAGCGCAAGATGTTAAACGACACAGGCAACACTCGCAAGTAGATCGTTCCCATCGCTACCCTACGTTCGTCTCTCTCTCTCTCTCTCTCTTCGTCACTCTCGTCGTTCCCTTTCGCGGCTCTCCGTCGCTCTGCCAGCCTTCCGTCAGAGCCTCTCCCGCTCCCTCCTGGTAATCCTCTTTCGCTACCTGCAACCCATTGCTCCGACAACCAACCAAGCCGCCCCAACCCTCCGTTTCCCTTTCACGCTCTCCCTTCCCATCGAACTTGTATTTATCTCCGTTGCACACCCCGCGCGCCAGCCTTACAGGATCCCGTACAACCACCAGCCCGGAGGGCTATGAAATTGAAATATGAATGC